CCCCCCCCCCCTTCGCTGACACTGCTGATGGTGTTTGTGGGCAGTTGCCAATCACTGCTGGCTGCCACTAGTGCAGCCGGTGGCGTCTGCAGGTGGTCACCAATTGCCGGCTAGCGCTCACCACTCTCCCCCCCACTGCCAACACTGCCATGGCTGCCTGCGGGAGTTCCCTACTCACTGCCACCATGCCCATGCTGTTGCATGCTAGCAGTCGTCATGCCCCCCCCAGCCTTGGGAGACATGCAGTGTTCATGAGCTATAGACTGGTTTCTGCTAAATCAATATTATATCCAAGCACAATTATTTTTTCTGATTAATCAAGCATGTTAAGCTTCAAACCTTCTGCAGAGCAATGTTGAAAACAGAAATAAAGTTAAACAGAATAAACTAATTGGCTCCACCATATGATGGCACAGCCCAACACAAGTACTATCCTATGGCAGAGTTATTTATTCCGTTTCAACGCACATGTAGACAGTGACCCAGGGCTGGCTGGGCCATGAGGGCGCTACAGTGCGGGGACTGCCTGCTGGTTATCCCCGCACAGTAGCAAACTTGTGCTCCAGCCAGCCCCGTTGAGCCAGAGGGGAGCAACCCTGGGTTGGCAAGCTGACCCCCCACACCCTCTGTTAGCTGGGGCTGTGTGCTGCAGTCCCAGGTACATGTGTAAATGCTGCACCTGGGAGCAGTAAACTCCAGCGCGAACTGTACCAGAGTTTGTGTTGCATTAATATTACATGTCAGCATGTCTTGTGCGTCTCACTCCAGCACAATCTAAAGTTAAAATATTCAGTTCCAGAAATAAACCAGAGAGCAAAAGGAAAACAAAGATGCACAAATATACCTAATATCTAAAATCGCTCATGCACAACAAAAGGTTTTCATGTGTATCGTACTGCATTGAAGCAGTAGATGACAAAGCTGTTAACAAACAGCCAGTCAGGAGAATACTGGTACTGACAGTTAAATGACTGTTTACATAGCCCTGCAGCAGTAACAGCAATAAACCTTCACCTCGGAAAATTTTGCTTGCCCATTAATTTTCTTTCACTGGAGAGCACCTAGCACAACAACCAGTTTCATTAAACTCAGCGTTGTAGTATGTTAACAGTAGAGTGGAACTCAGGAGTTCCTTTTTTTAATGCTAAAAATGTGAGAGTTTAGCAAATATGTTTTCTTTTTACTGTGCCTCCTCCACATACACAGAATATAGACACTATACAGATCAGCAAAAGGGGGAAAATCCATAAGAATGCATGTAAAGGAAAAACATAATAATACCTACAGACAGACAAGGTTCTTTGGGTACATCCGGTATCTTTTATTAGACCAACTAAAATAGACGGAGAAATTCTTCTTTGCAAGCTTTTGGGTACAAACACGCTTCTTCAGGCTTAGGAAGCATCTGCAGTTGGTCTGTGCTCTTCCTGGATGGGATGGAATAGAAACCAGAGGTCAGGATGCAGGAACACCAGTCAGTGAAAATGCAACACCTACAGTACAAGATTCTCAATCACCTTTTATAGCAGATAATGTTCCAAGAATGGAAATGGCAGTTTCCTTTGGTAGAGGGGGAGAATTAAAAGTAATAAATACCTTTTTTTTATTGCTCTAGCTTGATTTTTTTCTCTCCAAACCTGCTAAGACAGGGATTTTAAGCTCATCTTTGTAAAATGAAAAACTGCAAGAACATAATTCAGGTATAATGTCACCAGTGTTAATTTTTTAAATTTCCTGGCTCTCTTAGTTCACACAAACCATTGTTACAAACAGTATTTAATGTACTAGGAGAGTTGGAGTCCATGAGAGTAAAGCAGAGTCTAGCGTTTGTTTTTTTTTTAAATACAGTCCTTTTTAAAATAAGGTTTCTTGTACTGTCTCCTATACCAGTTTTGAGAAACATGATAAGAGTCTTATTAACAATGAGTATCTGCAACCATTTTGACTGAATAAACCAGCTATCTGAGATGTAAAGAAAAATGATGCAGGCTTAAAAAGATAGAAATATTCATTCACACTATTCATCTGTATCAGCTGTTCTTAATCTGCATAAATTTTCCTTCTCTCAAATATGTGATTTGGAATATATCTTCACCAGTGATGACTGAGACTCCTAGAGTTTCTTCAGCTTAGCTAGAAGCATCAACACTGCAAATGGTAACTAAGGGTGTGTGTAGACAACACGGGATTTAATTTAGACCACTTGAAAATATAAACGTGGCTTTTTTTTTTGGTGCCGTGTATTTTTGTTTGCATGACATAGCATTCATGTTTGCACTAATGGTGCTTTTGAGCGAGTTAAGCCCCTGTGTGTCATTTCGTGCAGATATCAGTAGAGGGAGTCAAATACCAATTTACCCCCTAAAATGTCTTTGCTAATGTGTTACAGCAGGAGGCGCATGTGAACCACCTGAGCTCCCCAGTCCCCGGACTCTCATTGGGCAGTTCTGACCTGTCTGGAAGTCTCCCCTGGTCATGGTTGTCCCAAAATCCTTGTCACTTACACCTGCCTATGCTTGTTCGGTCTGGTCTCTCTCTATCAGTATGCTATCGCAAAGACCCCAGCCCAGTCCCAAAGGACAAGCCGTGCAAGGGAATCATTCCCTCGTTCGTTCCTTTCCCTTTCCATTCCACCATGGCATTTTTCATTAATATAGCTGCTTAATAACTACCTATATCATAAGAGTA